GGGGGGGAGAGAGGGGGGAGGACGAGTGAGCCCGCGACCCTTGCGGTGCTTGGCTGTGCTTGCCCGGGGTAGACGGCCCCCCTCGCTGCCTCGCCTACTGACACCACTGGCCCCCTTCCCTCGAGGGGAAGCTGAGAACCGGCGCCTTGTCGAGGCCAGACGGCTGGGCGAGGGGCTCAGAGGTCTGGCTTCCAGTCCCCGTTTGCCGTCACACTGTCAGAGTGATCTTGGAGACAGCGACCCCCTCTCGGACTGGCCTTCCTCACAGGGTTGTTGCGACAATTAAGTGGGGAGGAGAGCCACGTACTCATCGGGTACCTGGAGTAGGTAACAAACAAACAAACAAACAAATAGACAAGTAAGTAAGTAAATAAATGAGGAGGACAGATGTGAGAGCAGCCATCAGCTCCCCTGAGTTTTTCCAGAGTAGGACATAGTGATTAAGAAGGCGGGTGTTCCCAGGCTTTCCTGAAGGCACCCATGTCGCTTGTTTGCCTTATAGGTAAGTAGCAGGACATCCCAGCTGGTTCAGCAAAGCGGGAACCCAAGCAGCAGTTTTCTAGTTTCATTACACAGCTCACAATGTGAGTTATTACTGAGGAGTTTAGATTCTCAGTTGAGTTTCTTTTCCAACGTTTATCCTGATCTCCACATCTCAGCTCCATTTTGCTTGTCTGCCCTCCCCCCTTCCCACTTCGTTCTCTTTTGCCTTTTCTCCTAGTTTCATCTGTGCACCATTGTCACATCTTCAGATTTTTGCAATAATGCTGTCTGATTTTCTTTTCTTTTTAGTTTTCACTTTTGCGCTATGAAACAGAACTGGTAACATTTTTTAAAAATTAAAAGCAGAACACAGGAACAGCTGAGATCCCAAGAAAACAAATAAGGAGTGAGACTTAACATCAGGAACATACCCATAAAGAAACATTGTCAAATGACACACATACACGAAGTGTATGGATCAGTATGCATTAATGTGGTCCTGAGATCCACATAAGCAGATCAAGCACTGGAGCAAATCAGAATAAAAATACACCACCACCCAGCAGCGATGTTTAACACACACACACACACCCCTCACAACTCTGTTGACACTAGTTTCAGCTTTGCATCCTATGGATACCAAGATGCAGTACATGGTGGCGGGCAAGCCCTGGGAGACCTCCCTGGGGGTCCCTGCCACCGCGATCAGCCCCTTCAGAGGTCTCAAAGGGCTCCCCCTCTCAAAGCCCCCCCCCAACATTGGAGGAAGCCCTGAGAGCTCCAAAGGCAAAAGGCAGGGAGAAAGGGTGGGAAATTTCCAGCCCTTTCTCCCTGCCTTTTTGCTGGGAGCCATTTACAGATGCTCCGTTGGCAAAATTGGGCATTGGGTAGGTCGAGCTCCGTTTGCAAGTCGATGCCAATTTTTGCCAACAGAGCCATTCGTCAATCAAAAAGTTCATATCTAGTTGAGGGTTGCCTGTACCAGTATCATGAGTGCAAAGGAGCTGGAACAAATGCTCAGTGTTGATGGGCCTTTTGCCACAATTCAAAGGGAGCAGATCACGACCTGTTTTGATTACTAAGAAATACTTTCTAAAGTTTCCTCTCTATACCATGATCACGGAAGATCTTGCAAAAATCTACATGCAAAAATTATAGCCACTACAAACCTTTGTAGGAACTTTTACTCTTGCAAATGGGAGCCTCTCTACCAGTTTGAATGGCTGAGGGCTCATTCTCTTCAAATGAATATTGTGTTTTTTAACGCATTTGCTCACTTCACTGGCATATGCCAGGACTCTCAACTAAAGGCTCATTCCAATGGGCATTTGTCTCATTTGTTTCGTGTATTGCAGGGGTGGATTGGCTCACCTTTTTTGTCTGGCAGTGGCATGACATAACTGCAACAGCGGACCAATTTGCCTCCAGAGCACTCCAACCCACACCTTTCTGAGCCAGGGACTACAGTTCTTTTTAAAATGCAGGTTGTGCACTCTAGTTTGGTCCATTCCCAGCACATGCAATCACTGGGAATGGATGAAAATGGAGTCTTGCAGCTGCCAAAGCTGCTGAGGCTCCTCTGGTTTCAATTTTTAGTATTGTGAAGTGGTTTAATAAGGAAGCCACTTCAGGATATCAGCAAATTGAACAGTTCTCCTGCTCCTCTGTGGAGGGGCCGGGGAAGTGAAATTATTATTTTTTACTCCTCTAGATTATTGCTGTTGTACTGAATCACTTAAATTTCTTTTTTTAAAAAAAATTATTTGACTTTGTGGGAAGTGCCAGTCAAAATCATGGCTGTGGGCGGTTTCTTGATCAACACTACGCACAAGGCAAAGTAAACAATTTTTAAAGAATAGTCTAAGTCATTCAGTGTATCAACATTGGTCTAGCACAGGCAAAAATAATGATTTCATTTCCCCTGTCCCTCTGAAGAGGAGCAGGGGAAATGTTCACTTTACCACAGAAGGAGCCAGAGGTTCGTTTGAGGTCACTGTGCCATTTGGGCACAAAGATCATGTCAAATGGCATATGACTCCTCCCCTTGTTCTCAAGCAACCCTATTTAGACAGCACCAGCCCACACGAAATGGGTCAGTGTGATCACACCGACGTGACAGAACAGCACCTCACATTGCCACACTGTTTATAAAAAATGAGTGAACTTATAACCACACTAGTAATTGTTCCCTGGAAGAATAATCTCTGATCTTGTTAACACTTCTGAAGGATGTGAATGGTCAGGCCTCCGGATATAAAAGTGTCCAAGTGTTTCGTTATTGGCTTTTCATCACAGGCCACTTTTTCAGAGAACTGACTGTTCCACCCTCCTTGAAGGATGGTCGATATCATCTCTTCTTTCATTTGCTAATAGACAGTGCTTTGTCTCTTCATCGCCAGAATCTAGCTGGAAGAGCTTTTTGTAATTCTCTCAGTTTTAACACCCTGGTGACACATGCTCGAGTAAGGTCCTCAATGAGCAGGGAGAAGACTGTGAATAGCAAAATGAACAATGAGGAAAAAGCTGATAATGAAGTAGGAGGACAGATAAAAGCATGTTTATGTGAAGAGTGGGAGGAAGAAAATGACATTACGTCCTTTCATTCTTTTCCATTCTTTCCATTCTTGTGCTGATGTTTCTCTCCTAGTCCCAAATTAATGCAGTGCCAAGGTTACTAAGCAGAAACATGAGGATGGTTACAGCTTCCTCGGTTGCTTAGCATTTTATAATAATTTGTGGCCAAAATTTAATTGTTCCTTTTGAAGGGCACACAGCCTGCACCATATTTCCAGATAGCAAAGCTAGCCTTTATACAGATGAGAGTTCCTCTTGCATGGAAAGGACCAGTGACTGAGTTACAAGGGGCACCCAGGTCTGCTTATAGAGCACTCCTGAGAGGAAATAATGGCTTGTAGTTCTAGCATTTGCTTTTCTTATTTCTGAATTTTGCAGGTTAGCTTGCTGTGTTTTGTGATTGGTTATCAGGAGAGGAAAGTGGGTTTAAATTGCAAGTCTGATTGCCCAGATATGCAACCCTGAGGGAAATGTGTCACTGGAAGACCAACATGCTATCAGCTTCTGAATGTGACCTAAGCACCTTATGTAGCTTGACCCCAAGTGTGAGGTAAGTGTCTCTCACCAGGGAGGAGAAGGGGAAGTACATGTGGCCAACATGGTACATGTGATCAACCTTTTCTTATCAGGGCTAGTCTAAGACATGTTGCTGTCTGAGGCGAAGAACAGGATGACTCCCCTTCTCAAGCCATGCACAAAAGCAGAGTGGACTAGTGAATTTTCTTCAGTGCCCCCGCTGAAGGAAGCAGGCTAGCTTAGGACAGGCTTCCTGGCACAGAACTCTCTCCTTGTTTCCTCCTGGAAGAATCCGCTGCCTAGGCAACCACCTCACTCTGGCCTCATGATAAGGTTGGCCTTCCTTTTTTTAAAAGAAAGAATAAGTTTGATCAGGATGAGATAAAGTGATTGACCCAAGGTTGTCCAGTAAGATGGATATCTGAAAATTGTGGAGACGTGAACAGTGGTTCCGTGCTGAATTCTATGTGGTTGGCTGAAGTGAATTCATCCAGGGAAAACCAACTTCCCAGGTGTGACTTTGCAGTGCATTGATCACATTTTTCCTGCTGTGTAGCTGAAATCTAGGTTTCACCAGAAGAAAGCAATAGCAGAAACAGAGCCTCTGGGTGTCTCTCTTGCTTTATTAATTGGTTCCTTAATCATACTGGGTGGGTATTGTAGTCTGAGGAATAATGCTTTTTGTAAATCCCTGAGTTTGGAATCTCTGTCTTGTGGGTCTCAGCAGATGTGATTGTATCTGAAGGTTTGACTATAAATAATGGATTTTGTTGTGTGTTCAGGAGCCTCATGGCGCAGTGGTTAAACTGCAGCACTGCATAATTAACTTGTTAACCCCCCCCTCAGAGTGCTTTAAGCACTATGGGGCGGTATATAAACAGCACACATTGTAGTCCATCACCGTTTCCATTACACCACTCTGGGTATCTCCTGGTCACTAGTTGTACTCCATAAAGCACATCCAAATGGCCATCATTAGTTGAACACAGGAGCTCCTGCCTATTTCTTTCTTAAATATTTAAATTAAATAAATATAAATAAAGGTAGAGATAAAGGTTCCCCCTGACATTTAGTCTAGTCGTGTCTGACTCGTGTCTGACTGTTTCCAAGCCATAGAGCCAGCATTTGTCCTTGGTCCGTGGCCAGCTCAACTAGACACAG